AGTTAGTTTCCTCCAGCTTTTTTTGTTCCCTTTTCGGTCTCCATTGCAAAAGAAACATTTGGTTGGCGTTTTGCACTTGTTAAAAACATAAAGTTTATTGACAATTTCAGACACAAGAACAGAAAAATAAAATAATAATGTGGCTGTGTATAAAATGGCTTAATCTAATAGTGAGTTAAGTAATATTAAAACACACACTCCCACACATAGACGACATCATCGCAATGAGTTCGTACAAAATGAAAGCTTTTTCAATTGATATTTGATTGGTTCAAGTTTTTTCATAAAATTTTGTAAAGAATTCGTAATCAAACTGGAAAAATAGCAAATAGCAAATAACAAATATTCAATATTTGCTTTCATCATTGTTAACATGCAGCCTCTGTAGCCCACACTCCAGCATATAGAAAAATATCATTTTGATTTTTATTACAATTTCAATTGATTATTGTCATAATGTACGTTTTATAACTTTTATTACTGTTCTGCAATAAAACGAACAAAATAGAACAAAGAGTTATGAAAAAAAACTAATAAAAACTTTATTGAAATTGTCAACATCAATATGAAATTCAAATCTTGTTGAGTCGTACGAATTGCGAATATTGATGTCAAATATTTACTATTAATTGCCACTTTTGCAAAAAAGTTCTCAGTTAATAAATGATTGCGATTTTATACGAGTTACAATTTTATTAAATGTTTAAAATTGTATAAAATCTGAAGAGTTTTAAATAAACATTTATATTTGAAAATTTTTGGAACATGAATTAAGAAATATAGGGCAACATATCGGCTTAAATTTAAACAAGATTTTTAATAATGTTTGTATAGTCCATACAAAGGGAAGACGTGTGACGAAACCTTAAAGTTTTGATAAAATTAAACAACAGACAAGTACACAATTACACATAATTTCTAATCCATTGCATGAAATTTAAATGTTTAATATTTAAAATTTAATACCAATTTATCATTTTTGCATTCAGCGTTGAAATACAAAATCATTACTCATGACGACCCAATGATTGCTTTTTCATGTCCTTTTAACTTTTACTGACTTGTTTTGGTTTTATTTTTTTTCGATTTTATTGTTGCTGCTTTTTTGTTTTATTTTTCCTTTTGCAAGCTCATCATCATTTTCATCATTAATGCATGAGGGAGAATTCTAAACAAAAAAAAAAAAAAAAAACACTGAAAAAGTATTTATTACATACAGTCAAAACAAGAAAACAACAAAAACACAAATAAGTATTAGTCAAAATAATAAAAAACAAACATTTTTGTATGTGTGCATGTGGTGTGTTTTTATACGAATGCTCTAAACATAACATAGGGTGGCTCTTAAACAGGAGATACAAATCAGAATGAATATTTTAAATTTGATATACTATTGCAGCGACCCTAATCCACATGTACATAATGTTAACAGTTGTCTGACAGTTTTAGAAATATTCGTTAATAAATAAAAACTAAAATGCTTTAGTAGCAACGACTTTAAGTTGACCTACAGTTTGTTTTTATTTTAATATTTATTTTTACAAGAAAAGTTTTCTATTACGAATTGAACAAACTTTTAAATATTTTTTGGATATTTTAACATTTTATAAGTAGAGCTAGGCAGTAATCTATTTATTTCGTCAAAATCATCTAGCCTAGTCATTTTACTCAAACATTTATTTATTTTAATAAAAAACCTCATCAATTGTAGTCCAGAAAAAATTAGGCAAATTAATGGAAATTTTAGCACTAGATTTTTTTATATTAACCATTACTGTTAAATGGCTCAAATATTTCCACTTGTAGTTAAAATCAATTTAAAAAAATGCAAATTTCGAAAATGAGTTTTTGAAAATTATTTAAAAATTAAAGTAATTGAGAATATGATTGAAAATTTTGCAATGTTACAAACGGACTAATAAACTAAATACTTTCGTTTTAAATCAGTGGTTGAGGTTATGAAAAATTAAACATAATTGAGGCGGCTGGAAAAGGCGCGCATATATAATAATACAATAACCTTGTAACGTTTTTTTCATTTTTCATATTTTGAATTTTTGTTTACAAACACCCTTAAAAAATAAAGCGAACACATTAAAAAAAAGCGATAATTTAATGTTTTGTGAAACCACCTCATTTAACGCCTATTTATATGTATGTCTATACGAGTATGGAGCGCGATGATGGCGAGGATAAATAGAAAACAAGAGCAGCAGCAACAACAATTTTTAATGTTATGGCAATCTATGACTGGTAGAACGCCTTAAATAAGGTTATGACTTTTTTGTGTTCGGTATTTCTTAAACGGAAATTCACACCTAGAAGTCTTCATGCAAATCACGTTTTTATGACTTCTGTAAAAATCGATTTACTTTAATAATTTTGTTGAATAAAATATGAAAATATCTTATATTTTACATAAATGTTTAAATTTCAAAACAGAAAAAATCAATGCCTGAACTATGTACCTTCTATTAAGTCAAATTGTTTTAGAACAAAAATAGGAAAAAACAAAACCTATAGGACATTAAATACAAATAAGCCAAGGTCACTTTGTTATCTTCTTACACCACCGACATCAACACAACCCTTGAAATGAATCTCTTAAATATTAAAGTAATATATCGTGGCGTTGTCATTTACTTTTTTCCATAAAAAATGTTTTCGTTAATGCATTATACGGAACTTTTAACCTGCAAATAGTTAGACACAGGAATGATACAAATTTAATATACATACATATGTATGTACGTATGAATGCCTGTCCGTCTGTTTGTCTGTCACAAAAGAAAAAAAAAGGTGGATAGACAGGCAAAGAAAAGCAGCCAACTGGCACAAAATGATTCTCTGTTATAATTTAACAAGTGATGATAAATACCCGTGGGATTGTCATCAAAAAAGTACAAGTAAAGTTACTTAAACTAAAAATGTTGGGACTACATTTTGGTCTCTGCAATGTTTGCTTATTCGCAATGTGTGTTACACATACATGCATATTTTGATCTTGAAAAATATAAATAAGAAAGGCATTTTTATACAGTATTTTAAGTTTTCAGTTGAAAAATTCAAAATTTTATTTCATTTGAAAATTCGATTTCAGCACAATTTGTCCCATAAAAATTTTACTAATTGTTAAAAAATAATTGTATTTATTGTGTGAATGGGGAGTATTAAATGAATCAAAAAAGTATTTTTATTTTTAATACGCCAAAAACTTATTGTTATTTTTTCATTGAGATAAATCGCTGGTAGGAGACACATGTAAGCTGTAATATGCATATATGCGTTTTTTAACAATTTTTTAGGACAATATACAATATTTAATTAATATATACAGCGCTTAGTAGTTTAGTTCTCCAATATTTTATAATAAATAGTAACTTCCTGATCTTTATCAGTTCAGTTTGATTCGTTAGTACTATTGGATAGTAGACCAGAAACAAATTTTCAGATCTATTGGTCAAGAGATTGAAGCAATAACTATCTTAAGTCCTTTGGACAATTTTTGCTAGAACCAATAAGTAAAAAGTTACACTAATTTTAAAAAATCCTGTATGACCAAAACGTCCAATTTTGACCCCTAACTAACTCCGGCAGTTCTAGATAGATCTGTATATATGTAGATAAAGAATACAGCTGAAAATTTGTATCTGGCCTACTATCCAATAGTACTAACCTTGGTGCAAATGTCATAGAAATCGATTTTTAAGTTGGGCCAATTAACTCGAAATTGCCCATGTATGTATGTACGTTGTTTATGTCACATGATGATATCCGAAATATTGTGGGTTTAGTGTTGACCGTTAATGATCAGAATCGCTTATAAAAAATATCCAAAATTGTACTCGAATCAAAAATTTGAGTTTTTCAAACTGAGTACAAGAAAATACGCGACATATTAAAGCTTTTCATATAATTTTGTCCATTTCAATTTTTTTCCAACGTCTATGTATGTATATTTGATAAGTAAAACCATTTTGAAATGACCCCTAAAGTTGTTCCATTTTTTCAAATTAAAGCACAACTATTGATAGCAATTATTTAACATTTTCATTACAACAAAGCAAAAACCTTTTTGAAAATTTGCTTGTAACTGTCAGAGTTCTTAACAATCTGACACATTTGGTAAAAAACAAACATGTAGGCAATGTTTAAACCTCTCAACACTCAATCAATGTCCTTTCCTTTGCATAATAAACACACACACAAACTCTAATATTGCGTAAAGTTTTTCTTAAAGTCTAATTTGTATGTAGTAGAAATAACAGAAACAAACCTCAATTATCGATAGAAATTCTAATAAAACAAAAACACTTTCCTATACCTTTACATTATGTATGTACATATGTGTGTATTTGTATGGTCTGTGTGAGTATAAATTTACAAATGTAGTTTTAAGAAAACATATAACATATGAATTGTTGTTCTAGAAATCTGTCAGACAATATACTACATGCATAAATATACAAAAATACATACATATGTATGCACAAATGCGACAAAGACCATTACGTGTACAATACACGAAAACATGTTTTTATCAAGACGATACGAGTACAACTATGTATGTAAATATTGAATACTTTTAAGGTTTGAATTTACAAGACAAATAGATACATACATAGATGGTATGTTTTATGTAAATTTCCTGGAGCATAAATACATATATATACATATCTGTGTATGTACATGTGTGTCTATATATTTATATAAGAAATGTTATTTCACAGTAGTTGTTACGGTAATTGATCTTGTATAAAATCATGTTTCAGCATGTTTCATTAATGAGTCTTATTAATAAGTTCGAATATGAAGTAGGAAGAGGGAAAGGGATATTAAATTGACGATGAAAATAGTTAAATACCTAAATATAAAAAAAATTAAATATTTTCGGCTGATATATCTATCCTAAGGCTAGGCTATTCTTAGGTTTAAGTTGAAATAAATAAATATTTTGTATTGTGAATTTTGAAATTACATTATTGTTTCGTTTTGTTCAGGTTTGGTTTCAAAATCGTCGTGCCAAATGGAAGAAACGCAAGAAGACCACCAATGTATTCCGAACACCAGGCGCTTTACTGCCTTCCCATGGTTTACCTCCTTTCGGCGCCAACATCACAAACATTGCAATGGGAGAAGGCTTGTGTGGAACAGGCATGTTTGGCGGTGATCGTTGGAGTGTGGGTGTCAATCCAATGACAGCAGGTATGTAAATATTTTACTTTTTTTATATTATACAACTCTTTTACATAATGGTGTGGTATTTTTCTTTCCCTCCTTTTCTACGTTTCTTTATTTTCCTTATGACAATTTGTAATTTTTTAATACTAACAAATAATTAAACTACTTAATAAATAAAGGTTTTGGTCAACTAAATCAATCTTCTTCGCTTTCAAGTTCATTAAATAGTGGTTTAAATTCTGGTATTAATTTAGGTTCCGCTATGGGTGCTGGTAGTTATCAACATTATGGATTAAATGCTTTAGGTACGTTTAAAAAAATCAATCACACATATATATTAATTACTCCTTTAAAAATTTGTTTTCTAACATCACATAAATTAACATTATTAGTTGTAATCGAAATGTAGTTTTTTTTTATTTTTTTATTTTATTGATTTTATACATACTTTTAATACTTTAAGACAATCTAATTGCGATTTTTAATATGTAGCAACAATAAAAACATGAACAAATGTATTATAATATTATATCACGTGTTCTAAAACGAAAATTGCCAAAAATTTTCCATAACACAAAGACGACATACGTATTTTTGCAACAAAAATTAAAGAAGATTGATAAGTGACAAAATATTTTAAATTCTTTAACCCTCTTTTTTCGAAAAAATCAATCTTAAAAAAAAGTTGAATATTTTAAACAAGAAAGTTTTTCTCTAGAAAAAGTAATTACTTATGGGTTATATCTCAATTTTATGACAGTATATTAAAAAAATAATGATTATACTTAGATTATATTATCTCTAATAAAACAACAGCGACAGCAAAGGGTTAAAAATACAAGTTATAATTTTTTAACACACATGTACGAATCACGACTTTTGTTTTTCAATAATACATTTTGATTTTGAATTGTAAACGAAAAATAATAAAAGATTTTTTGGTGAGTTTTTATTTTGATATTTGCATTAAAAATTAGGATTCTGGTGCTGAAAGTGTTTAAATTGTTCATTAGCATGCCGAAAACATATGTATAAAGTAGGAAAAGATGTTAATTAAAAATTCGGAGACAAAAATTTCAAAACAAAAATATTTGTAGTGGTTTTCCATATCATAACACGCATTATAGTGGCATTAGGAAATATTTTTATAATAAATATATGTATACATCTGTTTTTTCAGGCGATTCAATGATGTACCAACATAGTGTTGGTGGCGTTGGTTGTGGAGGTAATGGTTCACCAACAGCCACAACCCCTCCGAATATGAACTCATGTTCTTCGGTTACACCGCCTCTAACAAACCAACCGAATCCTAGTCAAAATGAACTCAATGGTGATATGGTGAGTTAAAGTCGAAACATTTAGCACAGTCACAAACCTTAATGTGGTTGATGTACTGGTTAAGAAAAGTTTAACCCTTATTTTTATTTCCCTTTACACAAAATAACAGAGTGCACAACCTCATCATCAACAACAACCTCCACCGTCACAACAAACTTCTCAACAACAGCAAAATCACCAACAAACTCAAAATCATCATCAACCACCACCACAGCAGCAACAACAGCAAACACAACACTCTGATTCCAATGCAAGTAACAATAACCAGGCACACCAGCAGCAGCAGCAGCAACAACAACAGCAACAGCAGCAACAACTCTTACCCCATTGTCATCAATCCATGCAATCGCCGACAGATGGCTCTAACGAGGACGATGTATGGCGTGGTCATAGCATAGCTGCCTTGCGTCGGAGAGCTTCAGAACTGAATGCCACAACGGGAATACCATCATACTTGCACCATGCGGCTGCTGCTCACAACAGTTACGAACACCACAATTCGGTCTACTGAAATTTGCTAAAAAGCTTTGAAAGCTTTTCTGACTATGGATTTCCACAACAGGATTTTTGAAAAAACTGTATAATAAAAGTTGGTCACACAAAATGGTTGCAGTAGAAAAGCTTTCTAAGCTTTATGAATGTTCTAAGAATGTGCATTACAGAGTGGCATACAAAAATAACAATTTACTTTACACTTTTAAGTTTCCTAATTCTAAATCTTAATTTTTAACTGTACAATAATTGAAATTAATTTACGGGCAATTTGCCCACGCGTATTTAATTTTCCATGTTAAGAAAGAGGATTTGATTATTTTAATTTTATTTTTAAAAAACCTCATACAAAAGTATTTAAAATTGTTGGTTCAATACAGTTTATTTTTTCAATAATTCCATATGGCACTGAAATTATTTAGTAAAATGTTTAATAGTGCAAAATAGAAAGATTATGAATACTTTTGAAAATTTTTAAATTTATTTTTATTTTACAAAATTATATTACATATCGAACATTTACTACAAAACTGGAATAATTCAATCCTTTCCAGGAAAACGGTCATTTTTTTCTGGAAATAGATAAAAATATAAATAAGAAATACTTTAGAATAGTGTATATGTTATAGTACACAGTTCAAAAAGACCGAATTTCATGTTATAAAACGTGTGTAATAACGATTTTCGTATAGAAAGTAATTTTTAGTTATCTGGAAGGGCAGTTTAAAAATACTTAGGAAATAGGTCAAGACAACTATATGACAAATATTTTTTTTAAATAGGAAAGTCCTATAATACAATTGTATAATTGGATCAACTTGCTGCAACCCCATTTTTGATACTTATTTAAAAAAAATTGCATTATTTAATTTTAAACTGTATTGAACTTCGTTAACTAAACAATTATTTGTTTTTTCGTTTTTATTTGTTAATTTTCAAAGTGTTTTGTTTTTCAGTTTAAACAAATATAAAAATAAATTATGTAAATAATATTGATATAAGAAAGAAGTAATTAAAACCATTTAAAAATAATATTTAAAAATGCAATACAAGACTATAAAAACGAATTAAACAATGTATACGAAAACATTTAATGAATTAATTATAAGTAAAATTATTAAAATAATTATATTAATAACAAATCAATAAGTTTAAATATAAACTATACTAAAAAACATAAATAAAAATTATACGAGTTTACAAAAACAAAGAAAAATAATTATAAAATTAAATGTTTAGCAATTATTTAAAGTTTTTTTTTCAAATTTAAAATTATACATAACAATTATACAAATTCATATAAAAATATTTATGTACACATTCAAACCTATTGTAATAAACAAAAAACAAATAAATATATAAATATATATTATTTTAATTAATTAAGCGTGCTATAATACTACACACATACATATAAATAAATATAATTACAAATACAAATATAATGACCGACAAACAGACAGATATACATACATACATACATACATACATACATACATATAAACAGAAAAACTGAAAATCCGCAACAAAAGTAAATACCGGAATCTAAAAACATAAATTAAATACAAATATAAATATAAATACATGTATACGAAATAAAAATTTACTACAAGTATTAATTTTAAGATTTATACAGATGTTGTCGCTCTAATTTTGATTTGTTGTATTTTCTTCTTTGTTTTCGTGTTTTTTTTATAATTAAAATAAAATGAAAAGTATTAATCGTTAATAGCTGTAGACCCATTTGCTTTATTTAATTTATATGTAATTACAATTACACGTTTTTTTATACTAAAACTGCAAAAAACAATTTATTTTCGGGTTTTATGTTTAAAAGTAAAAGTGTGAGACATATGAGAATAACTAGTTCCTATGTATATCCTTACATATTGCATATTTGTTGTAATTTTTAATATTTTGTTTAATTTTTTTTTTTAATATTTAACATATTTTTTGCCAAAATCTAATTTTTAAAATAAACATTCCATTAAAGAAATAGTAATATGTATTTATTATGTATAACAGAATAATATAAAAAAAATATAAATTAAAATAAAAAACTATGGCAAAATGCCAATTTCAATGTGAATCCAATACAAAATGAAGTCAGCTAAGTACTATGTAATAATTAGTTTACTACATTTCTTCCTCTAGACTTAATAAAATAAACTTAAAAAAATAAAATTATACAGAAAAATTATAAATAAATAAATGTAATAGACTATGTATTGTAAAGAAATTATAATTTAAACCACTAATTAAAATTAAACATTTGTATTAAGTATTATTTAAAAAAAAAATTAAGAAAAAATAAATTTTAAAATAATTTGAATAGAAAAGTGATATAATCATTTCGAATGCATGTCATCGAGGTCTTTTGAATAACTAATAAGATATTAGGGTTCTGAAGTATCGTGTTTACATATTATGTTTGAAAGTGTTAAATTTTGGAAACTTATCGAGATATTAGCCTTTTTTTTTTTTTTGTAAGAACGAAAATAAAATAAAACAATTAAGTGTGGAATAAATATGGATCAAATAATTGCGGATATTGACAAACATATTAAAATTTTGATTGGAAACTCAAGGAATATTTATTTATTAACCAAACGCAATGAATTTTTTTTAACGTTTTATCATTATAAATAACAAAATTTAAAACAAATTGTCAAAAAGTTTCCTAAAGCTAAAACGAAAACCGAAAAAATACGATTTTTTACAATTTTACCAATTTGAGGAAAAACTTCAGGAATAAATAAGAAACATATAAAGGTTTCTAAAACTGCTTCTAGTTTTGGGGCACAGTTTTGAAATTTTAAATCATGTGGGTCAAAATTGAAATTTTTACAAAAAATAGGTTAAATTCGGACCATCGTATTGTCGACATATTTGGGCAATAGGACACTAAAATGTTCCACGTAATGATTTCTTTCATAAAAGTACAAAATTTAATAAAGAGTTAAGTTAATCTTTACGACCATAAAACAGTCCAAAAAAGTAAAATTTTAAGAAAACGACTTTAACGTTCATTCCTAATTTTAAAATGCCTGTATATTCCCTGCCGAAAATTGAGACTACTCTGCAGACGCGTGTAAAGAGTACTTCTCAAAGGACTAGGACTGGTTCAAAACTAATGCAAATATATGGAAAAAACATACATACATAGATGAGTACCACGTAATCCATTTCCCTGGAGAAAAGCACATTATCCTTTATATCTGGCTTAAAAATCCAGTTTAACGGTGAAATTTAATATAAATAAATCTTCCCACCAAATCTTATGACGATTGGTCCATACCCTCCATGTAAGCACTACTTTCGGAGAAATACTTTAATGTTCATAACTGACTTAAAATTTACAGTATAGCAACGAAATTTGTCATGAACGAATTTTATTTCAACCAAAATATCTCTCTCATAATTTACATTAACGGGAGAGCTTGGCCCGTAATTGACCCAATCCCTCATAGAAGGGCCTATTCCAAAAATCACCCTGATGGCCATGTTAATCTAATTATTTGATGTTCAGTGTACAAAGTTCGGCATTGCCAAATATAACACTGTTACTTTTTTTAATTCCAGCATTCTTTCGTAGAAACTAGTTTTAACACAACAGGATAAAAAAAGACCTTGAAAATGTTTCTAAATTCTTTATATTGCAGATAAAATAACATAATATTGCCTAATTTGGGGATGGGTAAAACTTATTTACTTAGATAATTTAAAAATTATAAATAATAACACTGGTCTAAAATGATAATACAAAATATTATCCATTTTTCCTCACACATCGCATTTCTGAAATATTAAAATTTTGACTTCAACCCTTGTTCCACGTGACTCCCTAATATTTTTTCCGAATTATATTTTTATATTTATAAAATTTAAGAATGCAAGCTTGCAAAATTCAAGACCGTTTGGATGTTTTAACCACTCAAAGATGATTGTTTTCCCTCTTTTTGGTCTTTGAATATATAAAACTAAAATTTCCATAGAATTGTCCCCTTTCGTCCTTTAAAAAGGGCAAACAATAAGAAAATTTAAATCGAAGTATGCAGTTTAACTACATAAAATCTATTTTGATTGTTTTTATTAAGGGCATTGCACAAAAGTTTCAGTTTTGAACATTAACATAATTCAAATAAAAAACAACTATTTTTAACTGAAACATACTTTATTACTACTACAATAAAAACAAATTAAACGGAACTACTAAACTAATTTAATAATTATATCAATCAATATGCTGTCGGTGTTTTCTATTGTGTGTCTAAAAACTGACCTAGTCAATGTTTCAACACTCCTTTATTTGTTTGTTAAAAAAGTAATAATCAAATGGCAACAACGCTGTTGGTGACCTCACCTAGAAGAGAAGCAGTACATGGAAAAACAAGGCAAGACGAGAGCACTCCTTAATTAATTTCCATACATCGCTCTATGAGTTTTGCATTTTTTTCTATTTCTGCTGTTGGTTGTGTATTTTTTACATAAAAATAGAATAGAGAAAACAAAAAAAAAAAACAGAACTCTACATGATGTTTTTAATCTTTCAAACACAATGTTTATTGGATTTACAGAAGTGTTGAGAAAAATAGATACTTGAATACAATAAATATATTTATTTAAAATCTTGTAAAAGAATTGCTATATGGTCTAAAACCAATGGGAGAGAATTTATGAGCTAAACATAAAAATTTAAATTTTATGGAAAACATAGAATAACGAAGTATCAAATGCTAAACAACACAATGTTTGGCTCCTGTCTCTAACTAACTCATCGTCAAATATCCTTGTGCTATTATTTTAATCAGGCTTGTCAGTTTTATTATCAATGTGTGTGTATTTTTACATTAACACATACAAGTGGTAAAACTTTCATAAACAACAAGATAAAAAACTAAGAACAAAAAATCATACACAATTTTTTTGCCCACAATGTTTGCTCAGTTATAAAAAAGTCACGGTAGGATATTGTCACTTTTTTGCGGCTACAAAATACAAAACGCGGTGTAAAAAAATAAAAAAAAAACAGTTACCGGAGTTTGTTTTATCCAACATATTTTTTAAGTTGAAATCAATTTATAAAATAGTTTTGCAATTTTTTAAACGTTCAAAAGAAATACTAATACAAACAAAAAAACACACTCGAAATGGGAAATAAAGTGGTTACATTTACTGAACAGCAACTAGATGATTATCAGGTATAACTGATAAAATATAAAAAAAAAAATAAAATAAAAAGTTTTATTACAAAATAGATCAAAATTAAATATTGCGCAGAAATGAAATAACTTTTGCAAAAATGACAAATGGATTTTAAATAAAGTTAATGAAGTTATTGTCGCGCTTATTTAATATTGAATTGATTATTTATTGAAAAGTTTTTTAATAAAATTAATGTATAGCTGATGAAAATATGTAGTAAAAATACGTATGATTAATTTTTGTTTAAATTTGTACAGTATAACAAATTTATGATTGTAGTGCATACTTATAGGAGGGAATACTTTTATATGCCCATCACGGCTTATGATGAATAAATATTAGTATTTATAAAATACTTATGCGTACCAGTGTACATTTGTGGTTCATACATACGCATATATAATTTTGAAACCTCTTTGATAATGTTTTCCAAAAACTAACACACAAATTTAAAAACGTTAATAAATAACCGAATAAAAAACCTATGAAAATTAAAAAAAAATATGGAATTGTAAAAAATAAAATTTTTGATTTATACATATATTTTGAATATTTAAACTGATTTTTATATACATAATTCAAACAAAAAATTTAATAATTATTTTTTGCTTAATTTTCGTTTAAAATATTAAAGGATTGTACATTTTTTACCCGCAAAGAGATCTTACGGTGAGTATTTGCATGCTATGCTCTTTTTCCGACCATTGTTGAATTATCATTTATTTGTAGTTATTTGGTGTCTTTTGTTAAAAAATACTCCCACTTTTATATAAACTTTGGAACTGACACGCAAAATGCTTCTTTTGTCATTAGGGTTTTTGCTTTTTCTTTTGGTTTAGTATTTTATTATTTATTTACTTTTATTTGTAGTAATCTGAAATGAATCGTGCTATTTAAAATGCTTTTGTTCGAAAATACATCCATGAAGACCAAAATTTAATTTCATATCAGAATTAGTAGTAAACAAGGTAAAAATTATCCTCAGTAGAAAAACTTTTTTGTGATTTGAAAAAAAAGGCAAAGACAAATTATTGCGTCACGAAAAAAATTTATCAGTTGTCTGTTTCTTTCGTTTCCGAATAGTAGAGATTTGATAAAGAAAAATTCGAGTTAACATAAATTCCCTTAAATTAATTTCTTTAGAGAAAGTATTAAATTTCTGTACAGTCAGTACTCTGGTGACAAGCATTTCTGTCAGTAATACAAAAAGAACAACAGCAACAAAGGCATTGTCAGCATTATTAACAAACACAACATCATGCTCCTTAAATTGTCTATTGTTTATAAAACTGTCATCCTCGTTTTGCATTTAATTTTGTTTGCTTTTACTGTAGTGTCCACAAAAGATTTCGTGAATTACGTCCAGATTTGGTACCACGCCAAATGACCGAGGGTCAGGCATCTAGTGTCAAGGTTCCTAAAGACTGCATAGAAAAAATGCCAGAATTAAGGGAAAATCCATTTCGTCGTCGGATTTGCGAAGCATTTTCTCGTGATGGCCAAGGAAATTTATCATTTGAAGATTTTCTAGATGCCTTTTCAGTTTTCAGCGAACAAGCACCACGAGATATAAAAGTGTGCTATGCATTTAAAATCTATGGTAAGTTGACTACATACAATTCCATATAATATAATTATCCAATCCTATTAAATATATTACCCATATACTTATATATACTATATAAGTATATGTATATTCCGAGACTTTATACGGAGTCGATTAAACTATGTCCGTCTGTCTGAAGATATCGTCGGAACACAAATCTTCAATAATTCTCTCAGACATGCTTTCGAGAAGTTACCTATTTAAAATAAGCAAAATCGGTTTATAAATAACATAGATACTTTGAGCAAAAATCCGAGATAACCTCTGAAAGTTTCATAAAAAATATAGAACTTTTATGCATGCTTAGACAAAACGAATTAATAAAACAAAATGTTGTTCTTGTACTTAGTTTGCTGTTTTAGAAAAACAAAGCAAGAACAATACGATACGAATGAAGCCCGGAGTAAATGAGAACATATAAACGGAGACTTTTTGGTACTTTTTCGTTCTTCAAAAAGTATTTTTTTCTATAACATTGAACAATGAACTAAACATAAAATTAAGCATGATTGAATGAAAATCAATAAAAGTGGACTTTCTGGTGCTTTTCAACTATTAGTTTTTGATATTTTGTAATAAAATTATAAAGTCTTGTTTGTATCATATTTATTTGAAGGTTTTCAGATTAAATTCCCATTTTATGAAATTAATGATGCTATTAACAATTTTCTTTTGTATTGTAATGTTGCATACAGTATTATGTTTCTATAAATTTATATTAGTTTGCATAAAATTGAAAGACTTGCAACATCTAACTTTATACGTACAAAATAATTCTCAGTAAATATGTACATACATAAGTATGCATGCATGAAGTGTGTTAAGCAACCAACATTGGCAACATTGGAATTTGACAAAAAGTCAAATGTTACTTAAATATATATGAAACAAGTACTTTCTATTTCCATGCAAATCATTTGATATCATCTAACCTTCTCTACCTTTATTACGCATGAATTTGTTATAAAATTCAGATTAAAATTAATGTAGAAAAGTTTGTTTTCAGTGGTTATGATGTTATTATGTTCCTACTCAATACTTGCACAACAAGTGAAATGAACCTACAAAGCCAATACCACAAATAAGAAAATAAGAGGAGTACTAAATTGGAAATTACAACCGATACCAAATGAAGCGTAAAATTGACTTTAAATGAAAAATGCAAGAAGGCGAAGTTGTTAAAAGGCAACTTTTGAATACATTTAAATCTGTGATTTTTATGACATTTTATAAAATTGAGATTTACACATACGGGTCATAGTTATATACAGGTGTAACTTGATGACAGAACAGGAGTTCTGCTCATGGATGTCTTCATATTTCAAGTAGACCCAAATCCAATCAAATATAAATTACGAATCCAAACCAAAGTTGCTAACACATTCTCTGTTTTCATATATTCTCTTATAGTCTTTGCGTTTGTGTGGTGCATTTTTCATTTAATTTTATTTATTCTTATTTTGCTTTTACTGTACTTGTTTGTTTGTTTTTTGTCATTTACAGATTTCGATCAAGATGGTTTTATAGGTCGTGCTGACCTTTTATCGTGTTTAACCACTATGACCAAAAATGAATTAAGCCCTGAGGAGCATCAACAAATAGCCGATAAAGTTATGGAGGAAGCCGATGTTGATGGTGATGGCAAACTATCCTTTCTTGAATTTGAGCATGTTATTTTAAGAGCACCCGATTTTCTTTCAACATTCCATATACGAATATAAAAAGGATTGAAGCACAAAGCAGCAGATACACACACACATAAACACTCATACATACATCTACACTTGATACATATGACGGCATCTTATGGTAAGAGACCATCGTCCAGTTGAGTTCAATCAATATTCCATACATACATGTACGTACATACTCTACAGTATGAACATTTGTGCAAACGTATGAAAGTACAAGAAGCTTTGCATGTGTAAGTTTGTACTATTTGCAGCATGTAAAAGTATCATCGAAATAAATAAAATCAAATAAATTTTTAATCTGTGACCAATAAATCTTTTTGAATTTATATTTAAATGTATTAACATTTCATAGTGAAGTAAAATGTGTGGGTATTTATTTAAAAATTGCAAACTCGAATAAATAGAATAATCTTTTTAATATTTTAACTATTAAAATTTTACGAGGGGAAATATATTTTGTTGTAACTTCTATGGTATAATACAAATTAAAAAAAAAGACTTTAACATAACGAAGTTTACATCCGCTGCATGACCGAAATGGTATTCTTTCTAATCTACTTATGTAAGTAAGTTGTTGACTAATTCTGCTTTTAAAATTATCTTTATAAATAACTAAAAATGGAAATTAAAATCGTATTTACCCTATATTCCCGGTAAATTCTAGTTAGAATCCATCCCATTTACATACATTGGGGAATTTCATGTCAAGTGACCCAACTCAAAAAATCGATTTTGACGAAATTTGCACATACGTTAGTACTATTGGATAGTAGGTCAGCTCTATCGGTCAAAGTTGGACGGACATTTTGGTCATATAGGGTTTTATTGAAATGAGTGTAACTTTTCACCTATTGGTCCTAGAAAAAGTTGTCCAAAGGAGTTCAGATAGCTATTTCATCACCTTGGTGCAAATTTCATACAAATCGGAAGACATCGATTTTTAAAGTTGGGTCACTTGACACGAAATTCCCCATATGTATATGAGTAATCGAATATTGTTGTAATTCACCATACTGCACTAAATATAAAATATGTAACTCTATAATATAAAGTTTGTAAAATATATGCATTAGGGGTATAACCAAAACAAACAAATTCAAAGCTTCCATTTGTAGGTTCAACAATTTAGTTAATTTAATTTAACAACATAAAGTTTTTGAATTCTTAGAGATAACAAATTCCATTAAGCTATGTCCATCTATACATATATTTGTTAAAATAAAGTTCGTTCTTTAAGGCATGCTTTCGGAAATTTTGAATATTATTTTAAATAACTGAAATTTTAAATATATTTCGAATGATATGGTCTGTATAAGAACATAGACAATATGTATATCTAAAGAATGAAATTCGAAAGATCTTTCATCTGTAAGAGTTTTAGGGATTGAACTTATGTATATCTCAATTATTTATGCATATAATTTGGATTTGTTTGTAAAAGTTGTATAAGTAAGGCCAATTTGATAAAATGGAATAATCGTATACCCTAATATATGTACATTCAAAACCAGCATTATATCGTATGCATTTTTTACCAAAGATTTTTGCATGTGTGTGCTAGATTTATAAGAGTATCTTGTATATTCCCAAGGGAAATAAAAGTTATTCTTTGTGGTTTCATCTATGTGACCTTTGGCATTTCATGGAATATTGAACATATAGAAGATAGATTATAATTGAAAAAGAAGAAAACTTAAAATATTGAATAGAAAAACCGATGTAGTAATGTAAAAATATGTAAAAACATGTATGCATTTTCAACTTAGACACAATATATGTACATACACTTTTTTTATTTCTTCGTGTAATCTTCTCTTACTAGAATTTTTTTAAACATCAATAAATAATAGTTTTTTTAATAAACACTTTGAACTTACCTTTTCATTTAGACATACACCTGTGATTACATATCATTCATTGCATCAATTATTTGTTTGGTTTGTGAACAGTATTTGTTAAAGTGTGTATCTGGTTTTGGATCCAAATCCAATAGAGTGACTTTTGTTAAAAATGTCTTACCAAATATCGACACCACATGAGTAATGTCAATTAAACTGATGGCAAAATTTAAAAAAAAGAATTTTATTTGTCCAATAAAGTAAACAATTGAAAACGTCTTACCTTTCTTTAGGTTCTTCTTCTTTGACTACTTCGACATTTTCAATTTCACAAAATGTTATCATTATGGAACAATCCAAAGCAGTGGCACCTAAAATATATTGTTCCTCCGGAGATAATTGGCAAAGTATCAGCTCGTTGTGATTTTTAGCAAATTTTTCAAGTAGTTTGTATATGATGTTGTATGTTTTTCCTTTTTTATCAGCATATTCATGGTCAAGCATAAATTGAAGATTAATCTATTTCAAAAACCAAAAATATACAAAAAAGGGAATAAATAGAATTAGAAAAAATTTAAAGGACCATCAAAAAGAACATGCAAATACGTTTTTGTTATCTTTTATTAAAGCTTCTCTGTATTGCTAAAAAAAAACACTTGAAGCAAATCTCTTGAGCAGTTAGAAAAATATTTCGGTTCTTTTTGGGATGTTTGTGTTTGTAAATCCCCAGTGAGAGTTTCTTTCACACACAAACCAGGTGTGTCTACTGAATTTCAGGCACATATAAAAAGGGGCTTAATAAAATCGACAAAAATCATTGTCTTATAGAAACAAAATCAAAAAAATTCTAATGCGGATATTATTTTAATGCAGCGCACCTGCTTCTTTTGTGTTCCAAACTTATGGTTGCTTTGTTTAATAACAAAAATGTTTTTTATTATTTTGTCATCATTCCACATATAAACATACATACTATGTACGTTTTAGTATGTGTTTATGCATGTATGTGTGTGTGAATGTTTGTATGTGGGTGTGAGGACATAAAAGTAAAGCTTTACTCACCTTGGCCAACGATTGTAAATGTAAAATTTTTTGCAAGACACAATTCTTTGGTAAGCAGGTCACTTCCGCTTTGTTGATTTGCTCTAGACACCGAGTGCTGTAGTCGGAGGAGGACGTTGAAGTAGTGTCCATTGTAAAGATGGGTTTTGCTGAAGTCAATGTTGATTTAACTTTAGTCACTTCCGTTTCCGTTAGTGTAGTGGTACTTGCTGCTACTGTTGTTTTTGGCATTGTGTTGAGTTTTTGTTTTTTGCATGAAGTTACACTTGACTGTGGTTGACCATCAACAACGCCAGCACAAATAGCAGCACCATATTCATCTCCTTCTGCTTCTCCTTCCTTAACAGCAGCAACTGATGCAGTACTTGCATGTATTTGCTCTTGTTTGGTCTCTTTGTTCGTTTGCTTTTTTTCACCGAATTTCGCTTCTACTTTTCCCTCGTATTCCCTCAACAGACACGTTACCAGCAAATGTTTTATAAGCTGCAGTTTGTCACTAAAGGATTTCACCAGTTATAAACATTGAATTAAGTTGAGATTTTATTTGTTTTTGTTTAAAGTGTTTATCGGTGGAATGAGTTTTCGTTTTGGTAACGTTATTATATGTAATGTTATTATTGTTGTTATTTTTGTATTCAGTTGTTTTTCATTTTGCTTTATTTTTTTATTACCAAAGACATTAATTTTATTGGTTTTTGTTTGACTATGATCATCGTCACAGTTGTATAAATATTCGAATTTCGTTATATTGTAGTTGGTTTTATTAAAAAAAAAAACTTTTTTCCATTATTTATTATTATTTTGCGGAATGTTAAATTTAAAACGGTATTAAAGACTTGATATTTTAGTTATACAATCTTACAACGGTTCTCCAATGAGAATTCCTGATAAAAGCCTATGTTTTATAAAATTGAAGTATCTATTATTTCTGTGAAAAATAACTTACTACGAGACTGTCATAACTCAAAAACCATCGCTCCAAGAAAATTGTTTTTTGATGTAGACATATACAATTTTATGGACATTTTAATCTAGTAAATCATAATCAACCAAAAACATTACTTTGTTTCCCGTTTTCATTTAAATTACAGAATGACAATACAACCATATTTAATATTATTTTAAATAGCTTGATTTCGTTATATATACATACATATATTCCAACCTACCTTGAAAACAAATCATCAATTTTGGACGTTCTGCTTATTTGGTCATCAAACACAATGTTACCGTTTTTGAAAATACGCAAATTATTTTGAGGACACTCGAAAAGGGATTGTAGCGCGAAAAACATTTGTTCCGTATTCCTAGAAAAAAAAAAATAAACCCACAAACATTAATTAAATTATTTTAAAAGGTGTTGACTATTAATTAAAAAAATAAAATTAAAACTTACCCGGAAAACAAATCAATTGGACAATATTGATTACGTTTACATATTTTTTGTTGTTTTATCTGTAAAAACATTTTTTATAGAAATAAAGTTGAAATGTTAAATTTTTATTGATTTTTTTAAAACTACTAAAATTTTTTGTCGAAAACTTGAAAAAGAGGAGGCAAAAGATGGGTATTTATGTGTGAGCGTTTGTATGAATGTTTGGGACTGGCAACAATTACCTTTAAAAACTGCATACAACAATAACGACACCTGGTATCCACCATGTCGTATAATGAATGTGATATTTTGTCATCTCTTGTTGTGCCACTCGTACTGTTGTTACAACAACGACTGGTCATTGCCTCCGCTGGTTGTGATGTAACTGGTGTTGTTGTTGCTGCCATTATTGTTCGTGATGGTTCAGTTTGAGTGGTAGTAAAACATCCACTGTCTGTTGATGATTTTATTGCCTTTGCTTGTGCCGCTATTGGTACTGTTGTTGCAACAGCCGCTTTTGATGTTGTTTTTGTTTCACTTAAACTTGGTGGTTGTGCTGCTCTTATTGTTTGTATTATTTTTGGCTTTATATCAAATAAATTGTTAACATCGTTTGGCAACAGCCAACCTTGCTTTGGTTTTATTTCAATGGCGAAAGTATCTGGACCGAATATATTGTTGCTTATGTTGCCACTGTTATCAATGCTGATGCTGTTGCTACATTGTGATGTTTTCATGTCCGTTGTTTCTGTTGCTGGCTGCTTTTTACGCTTTTTAGTAAAAAAAAATTAAATAAAAAAGTCATGAACAAAACATAAAAAGTACATTGTAAATGACGAAAAGGTCCAATCGCAAAATAACATAAAAACAAAAAGTTTTCAAAATAAAGAAAACCTTAAACCATCTCTCAACGATAAAAAAGTATATGGAATACAATATGATTGTGAGTAAATGATGTATGGCTTTTGCAAGAAAAAGTATCAACAGCATGTCTTTTTTTTAATAAAATGTTCTTAACATTTAATAATTCCGGTTAAATTTAAATTCATCCAATAGACTTATACTGCACAACAAGCAAATATTTAAACTTTAATAAAATTTAAAGATAAATTAATTTGAAATTGTTTCTTATACATACTTTAACAATAATGCTGTGTTGCATGTTGCTTGCTGCTGCAACTCTGAAACACATGAATGTTCTTAGAAGCAATAAACTAAAATTACATTTAGCACAAAACAAAGAATAAAGCAAGGGCTACACGAAACAAAAAAAAACAACATAAAAGAAATTACATGGATGATTTATTATTTTCTAAGGAAATAAACAAAAGACCCCCGCATTCACTGCTTCTTCTTTAAAACTGTGTACAAATTTCGAGTTTTTATATTTTTTTGCTTTCCTTGCTTTTATTTTACTTTTTTGGTTAAATAAAAAAAAATTCAGTCAACAACGTTCGCATAAAAAACAAAATGAACAAAACAAGGATGGAGGAAATTTGTTTGTTTTACCTGTAAGTTGGAATATAAAATATCGAACTCTGCAGGCAGTTGGGTAGCATCTGGTAGTAACAAACCGAAATGGCCACCAAATTCTTTATCCAAGCGATTAGCTATAGAGAAAAAAATATAAACAAATTGCAAATACAAAACAAAATTAAAACTATGTAAATGGAAAATAACAATATTACAAATAAATGTTTAAATAAACAATAATACAAATTTATTTCAATGTATACATACATCTACACACACATACATTTATAAACAAGAATTTTAAATATATGTATGTATATGAAAATACACAAATACATACATGCATTCATACCTATACATTTTTGTATAAATGTAAGATTAGAAAAACTACGTAGATATGTACATATATATATATATATATATATATATGTATGTATGTATGTACTAGGATATTCAAACATTGGGGTTTTGTTTTAATCGATTAACTCTACAAGCGCTGAATATCAGTTTTACTACTTTTTAAAAGTGTTTAAATAAGAAATAAAATTATATTTAACATCCATCAAAATTTAAATTTTAGTCGAAAACCTAAGAATGTTAAAACGCATTCAAAAAGAACTTTTATGTAATAACCCACATTTCGCTTTAAAAATCGCTTTTGTGATCGAAAACAGGTTGTAATTAATGGAGAAGTAATTTTTGTGATCACTCTTGTTAAACTAAAATCGCCCGTATTTTCGTTAAAACAAGTTTAAATTGAAAAAGAGCTTATTTTGTGATTTCCCTCAAAAATCCAAAAAACGAATGTAATTTCGTTAAAACACCTATGTAAATATCCAAAATGTAAAAAAATCCGATTAATTGATTGAAACAAATTGATCGGTTTAATAGTTTTTCGATATTTTTAATTATTCTAACGAAATTAATCGACCGAAATTGTTAATCGATCGACTGTTAATCTATTGAATACCCTAACACTTACGTATGTATATTATGGTGGCCCCATTTGTATGGATAAAAAAATACGGTACTGATGTTCCCACCTAAAATGAGAGATTGGTTTATTTTAAGATACCGTTTCTCAGCATTTTTTATCCTGAGATCAATATTTGGTGAGCTGGATCAAAGAATAAAAAATGAACTATTTTAAGGTTGAAAGGGCATATATACATATGTATTATATTGTAATTTTTGTTACAATTAAATAATTCAAAGTAAAAATTTGAAAAATCAAAAAGAAATTTACGAAAAATCCACAATTTGTTAAAATTGCTGCGGGGACTTCTTTGACAGCAGCGAAAAAGTAATATTATGGCTTTTTGTACTAAAGGATGTAAAATTGTATAGTTGAAAAAAAATAAAAAAGTTACACCCTAATATGTAGTCATATATTCTTTTGTATGTTCCCTGCCAGCAATTTTGTAGTCGACTATGAGAAAAATTCACTTCTAGTTTACTTTTACAGACTGACTATAAGCTAACTACAATGTAATGCAGAGCTGTCCCGAAATTTTGTATTTGGCAACGTAAAGAACCGACTTTTAAATACTAACTACAATCTAACTATAATGTGATGCAGAAGTGCCTCAAAATTATCTGGAGAGAATTAATTGTATTTCAACATGTTTTCCCTTGTTTCTCTATTATTATGATTTTATTTGTTAACTTTAGTAGACTGACTATAAACGAACAACAATGTAATGCAGAAATGTTCCAAAATTTGGTATTTATTAACGTAAACAAACGACTTTTAAAGACTAGCTACAAGCTAACTATCATATAATGCGGGAGTACCCCAAAATTATCTGGAGAGCATTTTGTTTCGACATGTTTTCTCATGTTTCGTTATTATTTGGAATTTTGTTTTACATTTTTGTCATTTTCTTGTATATGTACGTTGTGAAATTTGAGTCAGTAAATTGGAAAAATTAATCATAAAAGGTTAAATATTTTAAAACTCGGTCCCTAAATTCTAAATTCTGCTGATTAATACTGTAAATATAATACATTAACAGTTAACATTACACAACATTTTAAAATTTATTTTAGATTTGGATCAATGGGAATCATGGAAATAATGAACAAATCATTCATAATATTATGGATACCGGTGTTTTTATTAGTTCCCCTGCAGAAAACTGATGTTTATTAATTTTAACGAACTAATATCATAACTTGTATTAAAGCGAAATGTAATTTAGATAACTAGTAGTTAAATTTTAAATATATTTAATTAAAATGTAATTAATTAATACAGTAGGGAATACAAAAGAAAACTATTACTTGACTTTTCTGCAACTAACTTTAAGTTAGTTAATAAAGAGTTACCTTTAAGCTAATTTTTTAGTAACTAACTTTAAGCTAGTTGAAAAGTCATGCAGAGTCGGACAATTGACTACTGCGTAGGAGATCGCCATGTTAAAATAGTCAGTCGGCTCCATTAAAAATAATCCAAGAATCAACCATAACTAGTTGATGAAAAAGTCGGCTTTTAATGCATTTAAAGTTAGTTGAGTTGCTGGCAGGGTTATTGCACTAACCACACACACAAAATTCATATTTATTGCATCAATTCCATTTAAAAAAAGGTATTTTTATGAACAACCGAAAAACAAATATTTTTTATGAATATTTTAAACCATGTTTTTTTCTTCATCTTCAGTTACTCTTCGAACTCATAACAATAAGTTTACAAATGCATTGACTTTAAAAAGAGGGTTATATGCAGAAAACTAATAGTACTGCAAATACACTTGAAGAAGTAATTAATTATTTAAATTTTTCAATAAATTTTATAAATTAAAAAACTGACAATTTTCTTAATAGAAATGTAGTTATTATCAACATAATCCAAAATTGTGTTCTGTGAATTTAAAGTGATTAAAAAATTACATGACTGAAAAACTATTTAAATCTTACAGTGTATTATTGGGTAGATTTTATAAAGAATAGTTAAACATGTAATAAAAGTTATTTTTTTTTCTTTTGATGCTTAAAGTTTTATCTGGAGATTTTGTTTAGGGAAATAAACATCAATTGCTCAGAAACGAATGAAATTTTGAAATGCAATGAAGATGTATGAATTGTTACATTATGATCGATCGATTGTATTGGATTAGTTTTCATTTTATTTCGTATTCTTTCTTTAAACTTAAAAAATACTTGGCAAAGAGAAACAAATATTTGTTTAAGAATTTATTCCATCCAAATGCATACACACTTTCATCTGCACAATTACATTTACAAATATGTACATCATCATACAAAGATGAAGTTCAAAGTAAATAATGAAAAATAAGAACAGTAAAAAACTCTTACGAAATGTATATTAGATACATAGAAGTTGTGAATGCCATTTAAAGGATTTTTTATATAAAATATGTTTTTTTTATTAATTTAAACATCAACATAGCCCATTGAGTAGAGACCCATAGTCTCCCAGAAAGAAAAGGGAGACGAAAATGTTGATATTATGATACTATTAATATTATTTACAGTGTCTTGCATATTTTTATTTTAAGAATAACAAATGGAGCAATTTGGTTTTGATATTTAGACATAAACAGTTCAAGTTTCTTGATTATTAAAAAAAAAAACTACAAATCACTTTCATTGCCCAAATGTGAATTAAAGTGTTTTTATAAATGCTTATTGCATTGTTGAAGGTAGAGTTTTCCTTTAACATTGTGAGTATTCAATTAATACTTTGATTGTAGCAATCATCGCCTTAATTTTTGTAAACTATAATATGTAAAAAATGATGTTTAAACCTAAACCACTTTTCATACTTACATATGTACTATGAAACAAGTATGAAAGTAAAGTCAGGCATGGCCGACTATATGATACCCTACATCAGGAGTATATTTTAAAAATAATTTATTTTTCATAAAGAAACTTTAAAGTTGAATTTTACCTTAATTCCGATTATTTAAGCAATTTATTGATGCAAAAGAGGCTTTATATGAGAGTTAGGATCAAATATGAGCCGATTCTTAACAAATTGGGAGCAGGGATGTATTTTTATATAAAGGTTAGTTATGCTGAATTTCGTCACTATACTAATGATTATAAGTAAATTTTTGGACGTTTAAGTTATTTTTAGTGGGGGTTTGTATGGGGGCTAGGGTCAAACGACGGCCGATCATTATAAAAATCGACATGGTCATTTACGCCTATATAAAACTTAATTGTGCCAACTTTTGGAGAGATAGTAGTATATTTGACGTAGTTGTGAGTTAAAAATCCTAAATCGGAAGGTCAGGTTGTATGGAGGCTAGGTGAAATAATGCACCGATTTCAACCATTTTCAATAGGCAGCTAGCCGGACAGATGGGCATGTCTTAATCGACTCAGAAAGTGATTCTGAGTCGATCGGTATACTTTAAGGTGGGTGTATGACCAATATTTTTGTGCCAACTTTTGGAGAGATAGTAGTATATTTGACGTAGTTTCAACCATTTTCAATAGGCAGCCAGCCGGACTTACGGACGGACATGTCTTAATCGACTTTAAGGTGGGTGTATGACCAATATTTTTGTGCGTTACAAACATCACACAAACGTATAATACCCTCCCCACTATAGTGGTGTGTATAAAAAATCTTGTAGTTATGTCAGACACTGTGTATTTCGAAAAAGTTGTTTAATTCTATTTCCAATTGTGTATATTTTAACGATTATTTGTTGATGATTGCAAATGTATGTATGTATTTCATGCTGTAACAACTTTTATTAAATTAAATTCCTCAAAAATAGTTTTGGAAATAAATTTACGAATACTATTGTTTGGATATAGTCTTTTACATGCATACATGTACAAGTTCTTGTACCGCATAAATTGTTGTCTATTCATATTATTCCATTTTCAATTTATACATTCTAACTTATACCAATAAAAAAATAAGGAAATAGAAAATTTATTCAAACACTCATACATAGGTACATTTATTCAAACTTACAATACCCCGTTTCTATTACATGCATACATACCTGGCCTATAAGGCTTAATGTGCTCATTTATCCAGTGTCTGTCAATGGGATTTGGCACTGCAACAATATCCGCTTCAAATACAAACTCATTTCCCACAAGACAACGTATGATACTAATATAAGCCACATAATGGTCCATTGTCAAGATTCCAACAGCTGGTAGAAGAAGGAAACACACACAGCCACACGCAAAACCCAAAATAAAAACTTGGTATAAATATCTTGATACAATGGAGGCAAGAGCAAATGAATTAGCAACAAAATAAAACATTTGGGAAAAGGACAGACGAACGGAAAATAATAGAAGAACAAACAGTCAAGCAACATATCAACAATAACAATTGGAAAAAAATATGAACAGAATGGAAAACAAAAAAATTTTACATTAGTTGGCACCGAAACTTTTACACCTATTTTCCTACTTTTATATCAAAATTAAATTGATATTATTACATTATATACAGAATATTTATTAATTAAATAAATCAATTAATTTTAAAAAATTTTATATTATTTTTAAATTTGAAGGAATCGAGCGTATGGCGTAGTTTTTGATTTGTATATGATTTTAAATATTTTAAAAGAGGAGAAAAGTACAAAGTATTTAGAATGAAGAAAAAATAATGCAAATATTGAACTTGGTAATATTAAATAAGGAACACAATAGCTAACGCAAAGAAAATTTAACAATGTAAAATTTATGGGCTTTTATTAAATAGTACCTTTAACAATCACAAAATGGTATAACACAAAGTTTTTTGCAATTTCATCGAATGTTTACAAGGTATGCTTAAAAAATTCTAGGCGGTTCATACGAGCACGTGGAGTAGCAAATCGTATAACTAAATTGATACACCACCTGTTTTTAGATGTTTGTGTAGCAAGTAGGCTAAAATATGTTGTTCATATAAACACATTCCTTTTGGAATTTGAAGCCAACAAAAACAAAAAAGAACTCAAGGGAAACAAATACAAAAACTCCACATAAAATCATTAAAGTTTTGAAAATGGAATTTTCCAAACATTCCCCACATATGACCAAAATACAACACACACTGTGTGAGTGAGTGTTTCAACACAATAGTTGCAGCAATCAGCAGTTTTACTACATGTACTCATATGTTAAGGTGGTAAAGGATATGGATGTGGATGTGTGAATGTATTGTATGTGTTTATAATAAAATGTACCATCGTTTTTATTTTGCTGCTGGCCGGTAGTTGAAATCTTGTTTGGCTCCTGCTGGTTCATTTCATCCTGCTGCTTTTGTTGCTCCTGTGCATGTTGGTGTTGTTGCGAGAGCCCTTGGTTACATTGGGTCTCCTGGTATTGTGGTTCTTGTTCCAGTTGCTTTTGTTCGTGTTGTTTGTAAATTTTTGGCAAACGTAAAACTTTTTTAAATTGCGGCAATGCAAGCACCAAATTTGCATTACCCTCAGCACGATATATCAACTCAATTTGGCTCAATTCCATAAGTTGCTGAGACTCCTCCAGCTCGCCTTTCCATTTACTTTCCTGCAGCTGTTGTTGTTTATGCTCCTGCTGCTCATGGTGTTGGTGATGATAGTGGAGGTGTTGATACTGCTGCTGCTGTTGCATCTCCTTCTCCTTTTGTTGTTTATGTTTTAGTTTCTGTTTTTCATTTAAAATACTCAAAACTAACAACAATTCCTTCGGTGTAACCACTGATTGCGATGATGATGAAGCGTATGATGTTGTTTCAGAGGCCATTATGAAAAGATTTTATTTTCAATCTTTCTCCTCCACTTGCTATCTCTGGTTTATTGTATCTAAAATAAAAAATTAACAAAATATTTATACAATGAGCGTTGACGAAAAATATTTTCAACAAAAATTTGATGCGCAAATATTGTTGTCAACATCAAGGCAGTGTTTAAAATACTAAAATTTTTAAAATAAAGGATATACATCCGAATCCAGATCCGTCAGAATATTAATCTGACCGAAGTCTCACTGCAGGCGAATAATAAAAAATATTAAACAAATACTTTAAAAATAAATTTTATTTCGTGCACACACTCTACTATTATGTTGAACTACGTATGTATATGAATTTATTGTCTTCATGGACATTTCACATTTGTAAAATGCTATGAATACTACAGTTGTGTTTAAAAATAGTAAAATATGCAGATGTTAAAGATCAATATTATTTTGATTTTATTTACTCACAAATATAAGCACGTTAGATTAGATCAAACGTTTACTTTTGTATGGTCTATCTAAGCATTACTATCGCAGACATTTTTTAAATACATAAATTATACATTGATTATATTATTTAGAACACAATTGTTTTAGTGAAATTGCTTATATTTCATATGAATATATAAAAGAATACATTTGACCTGCCCTTGTATAGGTCTGTCCATATATTACAAATTTTTATAAATAAAATTCGCTTAAAATAGTAGCACTTGCATAAAAAAGTTATAGTTTTATTAATTTTTTATTCTCAATTCAAATTAAAAATATTATCAAAACAAATAAATTTTTAAAGGGCAGGTTTAATGTAAATAAACACTTGCATGCATTGGCCATTACAACCATAAAGTTTTGATTTCATACTAAAGTTATTATTTTATCATGCTTACTTGGAACATATAGTACCAAGAGTATGTAGTTGTTTTAAAGTGCTTATCTTGTAGATAAACAGATTACAGAATTGTTCTATAAAGTTTCTTGTTGCCAGTTTTTGTACAAAGTTGTGGGAGACTGAAAAAAGACGGCAACACAAACACTAACATTCATCTTTTAGTTTAAACTATTCAAGGATAATTGCAAAGCGATAAGTGTGAGTGTAATAAATTTTATTACTTCAAGTATATTTACTACATATAATGCAACATAAAAAACAATATCAGAGAAAAAGTTATGATAAAAGTATCCACATCGGAAATAGCACACGAATATACTGGCATGTAAGTGAACTGCAATTAAAAATATCTGATAAATTGATTTCATTTAAATTTTTATGCCCACTTACTGTTCAAAGTCGTACAAAGTAAGTGATATTGTTCAATATTTATGAAAGGAATCGAAATTGGATGAATTGAATTGCTTTAATGTCACAAAAAGTTCTGCTCGAATAAACGTTTTTATATTTGCTTTTTTATTATTATTCGATTAAACGATTTATTTTTAAACAAAATGTTCCAATTATTTGAACACAAAGGATATATTAAAACAAAAATTACATAAAGTGACGAAATAAATTAGTAACTCAATAGATTTTCAATAAATGGTTATTCAAATTTATATTTCATTACAATACTTTTACATAAAATGTTTATTAAACCAGCGAAGCAAAACTGCTTATTTGTTTACCCATCGGTCACCAATTTGCAATGTTTGTGTAACTATTCATAATTTGCATTGACTACAAACTAAAAATACCATGTTTTTATAGAAAGCAAATTTATTTTTGAAGTGATTTCCTGTTCAACAAAAAGAACGGTGTAATACAATTCTTACACTTTATCAAATCCTTACTTACACCTAAGCACAAAAAACTGTTGAAAGTAATAAAAAACAAAAACGAAACAGGTAAATGCAAATAAAGTTTGTAAATCGCAGAAAAAGTCAATTTAATGACTGTGCATTTCTTTCTTAAAAAAAAAAGAAAATCAACTCCATGAAACCCATTTTCAATAACAATTTTCTATTCAAATTTTCAATTTCAGGCAAATATAAAACTGTGAAAGGTAAAAAAACAGTAGTAGGAAAAGGAATAAAATAATAAAAAATAAAAACAAGTAAGAAATTATAGTCGGGCGAGGCCGACCATATAATACCCTACACCTGTTACAAAAATAAAATGTGATTTAGTTTTCATAATAAAGCATTTAAGTTGACTTGTGTCAGATACATATACTTAAGCCATTTATTGTTGAATAAAATTGTTGACATTTAAGTCAAATTTTGAAGGGGGATTTGTATAGGGGCTATGGTCAAATGAGACCCTATAATTATAAAATTCATGCGAGTCATCAAGGCTAGTATAGAACTTGGTTTTGCAGCTTTTTGTCGAGATACGAGTATATTAAACATAATTATAAACTTAAAATCCCTATTCGTCGTTTTCAGTTGTATGGGGTCTAGGTGAAATAATGGACCGATGTTAACCATTTTCAATAAGCTTCGTCTCCGGTACCATAGAAGATCATGTGCCAAATTTCATTGAATTATCTTCAAAATTGCGACCTGTAGTTTGATTACAAGGTTTACAAGCCCTATTCGGGGGTTCAGTTGTATGGGGGCTAGATGAGAAAATGGACCGATGTTAACCATTTTCAATAGGCTTCGTCTCTGGGACAATAGAAGATCATGTGCCAAATTTCATTGAGTTATCTTCAAAATTGAGACCTGTAGTTTGATTACAAGGTTTACAAGCCCTATTCGGGGGCTCAGTTGTATGGGGGCTAGGTGAAATAATGGACCAATATTAACCATTTTCAATAGGCTTCGTCCCTGGGCCAATAGAAGATCATGTGCCAAATTTCATTGAATTATTTGCGACCTGTAGTTTGATTACAAGGTTTACATGGACGGACAGACGGACGGACGGACATAGCTAAATCGACTCAGAAAATGATTCTAAGCCGATTGGTATACTTTAAGGTGGGTATAGGACCAATATTATTGTGCGTTACAAACATCAGCACAAATCCAATATACCCTCCCCACTAAAGTGGTGTAGGGTATAATAAAAAAACTGAAAAGTATAAAGACAGAGTACAAATACTCAAAATGTGATTGTAATATAATCAGCAATATTTTGCAAGTGAAATACAAGTGATACCTTGAATATCTTTCGGATGAAATACTTTTCTAGTCAACAGAAACGAAAGAAATTTTATAAAAACAAAAAATATTATGATGCAAAACATATCGTCTTATAAAATGTAAAGCCGTGTAACATTACTTTTCATAGTCTTACAAGAGAAGCAAAAAATCTAATAAAATAAAAATTATTTCAAATAATTCAAATTAACACTTTTCAATTTAAACAACACATAACGCACCTGTTTTGATAAAAAGTACTATCTGGGTTTTAATGAAGTTTAGAGAAAAGCTAATTTAATTGTATTTTACATAGACTTTTCATATTTTATATTGTCTTTTTATGCATAGAATTGAAGATTTTGTTTAAAATTTGAATTTTGTAAAAACATGTTGAAGGAACATTTGGTACATTTTAATTTTTCTATAATATGGAACCAAAACACAAAAAATTCAATATATACGATACTTAATGAATGAGAATCGTAAAGAGGGAATTTTTTGGTATATTTTGTTGAATGAGATTCCATAAGAAAATTCTTTAAGGGACAATTTATCTATAATACGCTATTTTGCAGTTCAGCTGGCCATACATATTTATGTATATTTCTATAAAAGTGGGAGTGCATCAACAATTCTGTTCTGGTAGCAAATAAGTTGAGTGTCAATTGTATGTAATCGGAAAACAAAGTTATTATTTTTGTTGAGCAATGGTGTTTTAACATTTGAGTTTATAATAATGTAAAATGAAGAGCTCCATATCAAAACGTTTTAATTCAACTAAAGCAATTTTTTATTCATAAATTAAAAAAATTCTGAAAATAACTAATAATCGTGATCCCAATCAGCGAGACACCTCGTAGACCTTGATCAATCACTGTTATTCTAGAGGAGCCTCACGACCCTGAAGCGATTCTGAATTCTTCAGAGCAGAAACCCAGATCTACCAACCCAAAATTGGAAGGTGATCGTAGTTCTTAATCGTTGCCATTACTCCGACAGAGGCAGTGCAAAGTGTAGTACTATGAGAGAAGTCGTTAGATTTTTATTTCATACTGCCAAAACAAAATAAAATGAAAATTGGTATGATTATCAAAAAAATCAAAAAGAAAATATATTTTGTTTTTACACTATCAGATTTGAAATAAAATTAAACTTCAATTTGATAAAATTAAAAGAAAAAACGTAAATTTTCATTTTGTTTCTGTTTTTATTTAAAATTTTGTTTCTGTTTTTATTTTTTCTTTGTTTAAATCAAAGAATAAATAAGAAATGAAACTGTTGTCAAAAGTACCTAAGTCTACTGTCATCCGGTACCTAACTCTAAGAATGTATTAGTAGAATTCTCAAGTCAACATAGTTGCAAAAAATCGTATTGAAAAATATTGAAAAAAATATTACATTTCAATTTATACTTTGAAAGGTTTCTTAAGATATTTTCCACATATTTTATCTACAAACATTTTATAAACACGTCTATTTGTTTTTTAATCTATAATATTGAAAAAATGAATTATTTATTTGAAATATCTTTTTCGTTTACCATACGAAAATTTACAACATTGTTTTTTTTTTTTAGTTTTAATTTCAACGAACAAAAATTCAATGTCAAAAAATAAAAAATATTTTTTTTTTCGTTTGTAAAAAATATATTATTTTCGGGCTATTAAATGTGTTTAAATTGTGCAAAAAAATTATAAAATATAATGTTAAGTGATAAAAAATATTTCAAAGTGCTATTATCCTCAAATTTTCGCGAAAAAGTTTTGAAGTTTGGAGAGAGAATAAAATTTTTACATATGTGTTGGATTTACACAGCACTCGTCTGTGAGAAGAGCGTAATGTTATTGTTGTAAAAAATGACAGCGTTTCACTTCTTGTTTATTCTTTGGTTTAAATAAAAATAAAACTCAAATAAAATGAAAAAATCCAATCGTTTTGAAATTTTTCAAAAAATTTAAAAAAATCATACGATTTTCAATTTTCC